CTAATTTGCATGATAATTAGCTATTTTTTAGTGGTTCCATGACTGTTCCACTGATATCTAAACAACCACTCATTGGATTTTGATGAAACTTGGTACATAGATGCTCTGAACTAATGCTAGGTTTTGATTAGTTTTTGGTAATAATCCGTGGATACTAATTACCTAATTTGCATAATGATTAGTCAATTTTCGGTTTTTCCACTGATATCTCAAGTACTAATCATCACATTTCAATGAAACTTGGTACATAGATGTCATACGACACTGCACAGACCTGATAGTTTTTATGGTAATATCAGTACATATTAATTACCTAATTTGCATAATTAATTAATTTTCAGCATTTGATATAAGTAGTTAGCATTACATTTCAATGAAACTTGGTACTTACATACTCAAGGACTATGCAGAGATTGATTGTTTTCGATAAATATTTGTGCATATTAATCACCTAATTTGCATAATTAGTTAATTTTCAGCTTTTCCACGGGTATCTCAAGTACTAATCATCGCATTTCAATGAAACTTGGTACATAGATCCTTTAGGACTATGCAGAGACCTGATTAGTTTTAGGGTAAATAATTGTGCATATTAATTACCTAATTTGCATAATTAATTTTCAGCTTTTCTACTGATATCTAAAGTACTAATCATCACATTTCAATGAATCTAGAATTATGCAGACCCAATTAGTTTCCGGTAAATATTTGTGCATATTAATCACCTAATTTACATAATTAACCAACTTTCACACTGATATCTCAGGTACTATACATCACATATCAATAAATGTACATGGATGCTGTAGGACAATAGATGGACCTGAATAATTGTGGGTTAAAATCTGTACATATTAATTACCTAATTTGCATAATTAACCAATTTTAAGCTTTCACACTGATATCTAAAGTATCGTAAAAACTCCAAAATTTCGACCTGATTTAAATAAATGGTGTTAGAAATGTGACGTGTTTTTAGAGTCAAAATTAAGGTGCATTTTCGGACGGTCGAATTTTTCAGAATAGAAATCAGCAAATGAAAAAATGGGGATGATAGACAGTGTGCTTCATTAGTTTTTAAAAAATGCAATGTCCGTCAATTGACGTAAACTTCCTCATGTTTCACGGTAAAAGCAAAGGTCGTGGCCGAGTTGTAACTCAAAATCTAAACAAAGTCATCAATCAGTATTATGACAAGCAAAACAAAACATCAAGACGCGGAGAAGAGGTCAGCACAAAACTAATAGGTCAAAAGACAAAGCTGTCTCGCACTACCTAGGAAAACTTGCGAATGTTCGAAGTACAGGTACCCATTGGACAAAAGATACATGGAAGTTTAGCAAACGATCTCCCCGACCCAGTGCAATGTATCCGGTTAGAATCAAAGCTCACGTGTCCCTTATTTGAGGGACCAAATT